AAGCTCGAGTCCTACCTATTTCTACTGGTACATGAAACTTAGTCGGCTTCTCCTGAGTAGACCTCGACATGGTGATTATTTGCCAACTTTGGCTTAGCCCGGAAAAACTAAGCTTCTCAATGTTCAGATAAAGTAGGTTTTTGAGACAATCAGTAAATCTTGAATACAGCTTGTAGTCATCCTAAGCCGCATAGGATGACGAAGGACTGCTAGTTGAATTATCTCACAATGAGAGGAATAGGCTTCACATTTCCTGTTAATTTAACATATTCTAGCATCCCAAAAGGTATTTTTATTTCTACTGGACAGGACTAAGCTTCAGACCACTCCCAAATCTCATCAGTACCTACAGCCGGAATCGAACTCGAGTAGTCCAACGTATAATCTCGACGCGTAATCACAACACTTCGGTACCACAAGTGTCCCTGATTTGCAGGAAAGATGTAACTTTCAAGGAAGACTAGGGCTTACTTTTATGAGATTTTCGATAAGACAAACTTGTATTTATCCCTTACAAATGACGACGGTATTTATACAGACAGATCTCTACTATTAGGATATCTAGTATTAGTAATTACTCCAACGAAAATGACGTACTATCCACAAATACACTATTCGTAGTCATGTAATTCATTCCATCCCAATAAAAAAGTAGAATACCAATTTTAAAATATGAAAATATTTTCTCTGTTTCTTAATATACCATAATTCCTAAAGATAAGTGAAATGTATAAAAAATACTTTTATTATAAAAATGCAATACAGTACAAGACGCATCATGCCCTGTTGTTTAAACAATCGCTTATGTAAAAGTTATTCTTAAGTTGTATGAATTAAATGTGCAATAATCTCTTGGCTCAACGGCTGCAACAAAGATACCGCTTTTTGCGCATAAGATGGTTTTCGAGACTTCCAGTAGATCTGATACAAGAGCTGTATTTAGCCTATTTCGGTTAAGGTAATGAAGGACTAGTATTTGATTTTTTCCACAATCATTTGAGTAGGCTTCATTTTTCCATTAAATTTCACATTGTCTTGCTTCCGCAAAGTCTCAAAAACCTACTTATATACAAATATATGTCATGTAGTCGATTGCTATAGCAGGTTAAATGTTTTTTATCGACAATCCCACCACAGAAAGTGTTACTTAAGGGACCTAGCATTCCTGGAATTTCACGTCTTCCAAGAGACCCAAGGGTACTTATGGAAGTGTGGCGAAGTGGCTAACGTGCCAAGACCATACGTT